ACCCAACCAATGCAAGTGGTAACCAATGAAGTTTTGAAACAAGTCCCTCGACTTCCAATTACTCTACAAGAATACATACAAAAGGAATTCTTTTTTAAAGGATGTGTAGTTGTGCATACAATCACATGTTACACAAAAAGAAAATGAGTCAAAGTACGCTCCTGGATATGAGCTTAAACTATCTAGGCTCTCATATATGAGCCTAAACTGTCTATCAGAAAAAAAAAAGAAAAAAAAACTTACTTAAATATGCTCCCAAATATGAGTCTAAACTATCTATTAGAAAAAAAAGAAAAAGAAATCACTCAATTCGCTCCTGGATATGAGCCTAAATTATCTATGCTCCTAGATACGAGCTTAAACCTATTTGACAAAGAAACTTACTCAATTCGCTCCTAGATATGAGTTTAAATTATTTGTGCTCCCAGATACGAGCCTAAATTGTCTATTAGAGAAAAAAAACACTCATTCAAATATGCTCCTAGATATGAACATAAACTATCTACGAGACTCCTGAGTATGAGTATAAACTACTCAACTTCCTAAACAACTCAAAGTTTGCTCCTAGATACGAGCCTAAATTATCTATTAGAAAAAAAAATCTTACTCAATTTACTCATGGATATGAGATTAAACTATCTGTGCTCCCAGATATGAACCTAAATTGTCTATTATAAATAAATAAAAAAAAACTCACTCAAAATACGCTCCTGGATATGAGCATAAACTATCTATGCTCTTAGATATGAGTTTAAACTATTCATTAGAAAAAAAAAAACTCACTCAATTCACTCCTGAACATGAGCCTAAACTATCTATGCTCCTAGATACGAGCCTAAATTGTCTACAAGACTCTTGAGTATGAGTATAAACTATTCAACTTCTAAAGTAATTCAAAGTTTGCTCCCGAATACGAGCATAAACTGTTTGCAAGACTCCTGAGTATGAGTATAAACTATTCAACTTCTAAAGTAACTCAAAGTTTGCTCCCGGATATGAGCATAAACTGTCTGCAAGACTCCTNACTCAAAGTTTGCTCCCGGATATGAGCATAAACTGTCTGCAAGACTCCTGAGTATGAGTATAAACTATTCAACTTCTAAAGTAACTCAAAGTTTGTTCCCAAATATGAGTATAAACTATTTACAAGTCTCCTAAGTATAAGTATAAACTATTCAACTTCCAAAATAACTCAAATTGTGCTCCCGTACACAAGCCTAAAGTATCTACAAAGCCCCAAATTGCAAGTACAAATCACTTCATGAACTGCACCATGATTTGGTCCCTCTAAAGGTACGTAGGCAACCTGAAAAGGTGCAGTCACAAAATAAATTATTTGTATCACTCCTGGCCCGCTTGAGTATAAATTGTGAATGGCCAAATCAAATAAAAAATTCATGTATTACTCCTAGCCAGCATGAGTATAAACTGTGAACGACTAAACAAAAAAAAATTCTACTCGTGACCTGCAAGAGTATGAACTACTAATGGTACAAGAACAAAAAAAAAAGAAAAAATTCTCTACTCATAGCCTGCAAGAGTGTAAACTTTACAAATCGGTGGTTGCATTGCCAATTACAATAACAACCACCAACTTGGGGGCATTTGCTAGAATATAATTTTTTTGGCCCAAGAAGTTAAATAGGGTCCAATATGAAATCAAATCAAAAGGGGTTGGGCCCACTAAGAGGAGAGATTTTTTTAGGTGGGACCTAGTGTATTGGCCTAGTAGGGTCGAAAGGCTAATTAAAGGAAGTGATTTAATCACTTGATTTCCAAATACACCAGTCTTATATAGAGATCAAATTGGAAAGAAAATCACAAATTGGAACTTGTCACTAAATGATAGAATGACCAATTATGATTTGGTAGATCCCATTTAAAAAGAAACTAGGATTTGATACGGGCTTAACTGATCGAATATGGAAGGAAATAAGGGTGGTTAATGGGCTGAATGATATGTGGGCCCAAGTGTTTGGATTTTACTCACCAACTTACCTTAATAAGGCGTGTTGGGGATCGGTAAATTGATCACCGAATCATCAAGATTGGTGGGTCCCATTTCAATCAACTTTAAATTATGTGGGTTCCATGTCAATCAACCTTAAATTATGGCCAAATAAATGAAAAGCATTGGAATTCAAATTAATTTGAATTTATTGGGTGGATTCACTTAATACTATAAATCAAAGAGTAGAAGGAAAAGGCTCTCCTTCGACTCTATTACAACCATTTCTTTCAAGAAGAAGAAGAAGAAGGAGAAAGCTTCATCGGGGTCTTTCTCCCATTCAGCTCCCCCTTTCCACCGATTTTGTCTCCGACCGCTTTTATTGCTTTTGAAAAAGAAGGAAATGAAGCGGGCTGCACTAAGATCAAGGAAGGAAGAAGAAAGACTCCAAGTCTTCAAATGCTGAAGCACCGAAATTGCTACAACTTCGTATGGTATCAACCGAGGAAATTTCGATCTTCAAATTCCTATGATCCAAAAGGCTTCTGTCAATTCTACAAGCGAGGATATTGCTTTCAGCTGTTCACATTCTAATCGTTGATTGAGCATAAGTAAATTTTCGCTCATACAAGGTTGGGCATTACTTGCTTCTCATAATTGTAAGTTTTAGTTGTGATTTCAGATTTTGTCCAAGACAAGAGAATCAGAGGGTTTTTTTTGCCAAGAAAAGGTGAGTCTGTATCCCATTTAAATTTCTTTGAATTTGCTCGCATTAATTTTTGTGCTCCAAATTTAACGCAAAATTTGTATTAACATGTACAACTTGTGAGTTGTAAGCAGAGAGAGTGAGAGAGGGGTTGGCCTTTGCTCAACAAAAAGACAATAGAGTGTATGAAGTGAGAGAAAAGAGAGGAAGAGGGACAAACTAAAAGTCATCTCTCTCCCCCCTCCCTCCCCCTCTCTCTCTCTCTCAAATGGGATTTCCTGATTAATGAACTGGCAATGGAGTTGGGTACCAGCTATAATTTGACACCAAACTCTGCCAAAAAGTCTTGTTGGTGGATTGGACAAAGCAAGGGTAAAGAGATTTTAGACATATTGGGGTTTTATCCCTCAAGGGGGTTGTTGTAAATTTATTAAGACAGTTTTGCCAAGAAGGCAATGTCTAATGCAATCATTGTTGAAGACATCCCAAGAATTTGCGGTGGATATTCATAGTACTATTTGTAGCTCATTGGTTGGGCCAGCAAGTACAACCACAATATATATTGCCTCTTTATGGCCTTTTGATTTGTGCATGGATCCCACATGGAAAGTGATAGAATGTAATTCTTTCTTGAATGGAATTACTTGGTATTACTCAGCCTAGGGTTCACGTGCATATTAATTTTCATCCATAAGCTATATTTAATTTTTCTGAATCCCTTCACTTTGATAGATAATTTGAGTTCAATTTAGTGAGAGAGTAGGATGTCAATAAGAGGCAATCTAGTAATTGGATTGGATATAAAGCAATGAGTAAAAACAAAAAAAAAAAAAAAGCAAATGAAAAAATGATTCTTTCAGTATCCACTTGAGTATGAATAGATGATTTCATCTGACTCTGTTTCTTTTAAAGGAATTCAAAAGCATGGAGGGAAGATTGATGAAAGTGTGTGACATCTTTCCTCAACCCATAATGCTTCAGGTGATCAAATATCACTTATACAATGAGATCCCCAAGAGTACCCAACTTAAACACCCATCACTAAATCACTCATTTCTCCTCTCCCCTACCAAATAGAATAAGTCATAAAAATAGAACTAACACCCCCAATGACACCCACTCCCTCACCTAGGTAACATACCAATAAATCTACCATTCATCCTTCCATAAAGAAATAAATATCCAGCTCCTACAGCTTGTAAACTTCTGCCTCAAAAACCTCATATGTTTCACTAGATCCAAGGTTTATTTTAAAAAAAAGGTAGTGTATTGTATTACCTGCAAAAAATTGAGATTACAGTAGAACCCAAGAATTCCATACAACTGTTCTGTCATGGATCTCATAACAATCACTAACTAGTACATCCTTGTTGTAAACTGCCATGTATAAAGTTGGATAAATCACCATGATATGAGATATAACCAACACCATAATGCAAACATCAATGATCTCATAACAATTCCATACACAAACAACAATGGATGTTCCAAGATAAAAAAAAAACCCTAATGCAAACATCAATGATACAAGATGTAACCAAACACCATAAAATAGCAAACAATAATGATTTGAGATGGACCTACGCAAACAACATCGGATGTTCCAAAGAAAAACCCTAACACAAATAACAACGATCTGAGATGTAACCAAACGCCATAAAATAGCAAACAACAATGATCTGACCTACGCATGGTCTTTTGGTGGCAAGATCTTGCGCAAACCAAATAAAAATAGACCGATTATTGGTCTTTCGAGCTTCTAAACAGATGGAAGACCACACGGAAAGACTTACCAAATAAACCCTTAATCCTCTAATAGAAAATTCCTAATCAGATGCAATTAGTCAAAGTCATCATCACCATCTAGCTAGTTGGCTCTTGCTTTAGCATGGATCAGTTCAAATTGACCCCAAACCTCAACAAGGATCGAATAAATGTACGCTTGCCTTTTAACTCGACATCAACCCACTAAAACCGGATATTGTAATCTTTTCGTGCATTGTATCATTGGACAAAGAATCCAACTCCACCATTTAGGCGTCCAGTATATAGTGGGGATAAATTGGTCAATTATTAAATTGATCATGATCTTTACATTCATTTGTGAGTACACAAGATCACTACAACAGTACAACCTCACTTAGGCAGCATTTGGCATTTCAAGGATTTATTTCTTTTTTGCAGTTGAAAACTCAAGCGAACATTTTAACTGACAGACAATAAACCCTTAAAAATAAGGAATGTGCCTTAACCGAACAAGGTTTACCGTTTACGTAAGAAACGTATTTATCCACGCAAGTAAAAGCAAACGGGGCCTTAATTCCAAAATCTGTTTTTTTTGGCGCTCGTGTCGTGGCCCATTCAGACGTCAGAGAGCGCTTTATCATCTCACTCTAGTGTTCATTCACCCATTTCCCGTCCAACTCAATGCTGCAACTGAACGAAGTTCACCTTAGATTCTTCCCTGAGTGTGCCAATTTGTCAGATACTGCCTCTAATGGCTGCCAATCTTTCTCTGCTACAACTCCCATCTGTCCCAACACACTCTCTCCAAAGCAGAATCCGTGCCAAGAAATTGAAACACACCACAACCACCTTCACTTATTCTACAAGACCGAACGGTTTCGTGAACCACCCTTCTTGTTCTGTGCTCTCGTTGTTTTTGCTTATATACATGTTATTGGTTCTTATGTTTGAAAGTGTTTGTTGCAGGGAGCTCCAGATACCCTACTATTACATGCTCCTATTCGAATGGACAAAGCCCCGATTCAGTTGACGATGGCGTTAAGAAGGTTAAGAGGATTCTTGAGGAGAAAAAGCGGGCGGAGTTATCCGCCCGGATTGCTTCAGGTGAATTCACAGTAGAGCAATCTGGGTACGTTCACTATGAACAGAATTTGCAATTTGGAGTACACCCGTTACTTTTCTTTTTGTTAATTTGATTTAATAAGTAGCACGTAATCTGCGGGTGCTTAATTATGCTGTTTTATGGTTTAATAGTGTATTTTTGCGTTTTAATTTGGGTGTGCCTTTTGTATTTATTTGGCCTCCGGAAAAGTTTTCTGTCTGTGCTGAGGAATGGTCTGTCGAAATTGGGAGTTCCGACGGAGTTATTGGATTTTTTATCAAAATGGAACAATGTCAGTGAAGGGCAGCCAAAGATTCCAGAGGCTAAAGGAGCTATGAAAGCAATAGGGGGTCAGGCCTTTTTCATCCCCTTGTATGAACTTTACCTCACTTATGGTGGCATATTCAGGTTGACATTTGGTCCAAAGGTTTGGCTCTTGCTCACCTTCGTTCCTTTTTTAATTATTATAGACCAGTGAATTCGTTAAAATTTTTTATATGCTCAAGTCTGTGTCTGTCTTGATCAATCAATTGTTGCTCATTGTTACAGTCCTTTCTGATAGTTTCTGATCCTTCTATAGCAAAACACATATTAAGGGAGAACTCTAAGGCTTATTCAAAGGTAGAGATTCTTTTCTGTTAGTCTTAGTTGAGCAAGCAACTTGCTTCCACTGTCTTTTATAAGTTAATATAGAGAAGATCATGGTCTCAAGGAAGAGATCAGGCTGTTAGATGAGGTCCCTGAATAGGTTTTTATTCTCTAACATGTCCCCTCACATGAAAGCCTATTGGGCTTGAAGTGTGGACAAGCACAGGCCCATCCATGCCTTGTGCTGAAATTTAATTAATTATAATGGGCGCGACGAGGATCAAACACTAGACCACATGGAAGTTGGTCAAACAGGCACCATACCATCTCAAGGAACCATTCAACCTAAAAGATTAAGCTGTTAGATGAGGTCCCTGAATAGGTTTTCGTTCTCTAACACATGGTTTTTAATGTATAGGGTATCCTGGCAGAAATATTAGATTTTGTTATGGGGAAGGGACTGATCCCAGCTGATGGGGAGATTTGGCGTGTCCGACGACGGGCTATTGTCCCGGCATTGCATCAGAAGGTAATCCAATAGCTTTATGGTTATCATGTATCATCCCATTAAATGCTCTTTAGCTCATCCTGATCTCTTTGTTGGTCTTGTTTTGCCCATTTTGATATAATTTTATTATTTATACTTTTTTCTTTGATTGTTTATTTGTAGTATGTAACAGCTATGATTAGCCTCTTTGGGCAAGCTACAGAAAGGCTTTGCAAGAAGCTAGATGCTGCAGCATCTGATGGGGAGGATGTAGAGATGGAGTCATTTTTTTCTCGGTTAACATTGGATATCATTGGCAAGGCTGTCTTTAATTATGATTTTGATTCTTTAACAAACGATACAGGAATAGTTGAGGTACTTCTTTTGATTCTTCCTTTTCCTTTATTACTCAGCTCTGCCTCTTTGGACATTCAACTTTATTCAATGTTTTCTTTTTCTTTATCATGATGATTGTACTAAACTATATTATGTATGCAATTGACATATCCAGGCTGTCTATACAGTCTTGCGAGAAGCAGAGGATCGTAGTGTTGCACCTATTCCTTTCTGGGAAATTCCAATATGGAAGGATATTTCACCACGTCAAAGAAAGGTTTCTGCAGCCCTCAAGTTGATAAACGATACACTTGATGATCTGATTGCAATATGCAAGGTAATTTGGAAATTCTTAATGATGAAGTAACAGCGCCTTGTCTTTACATGCAGTGTGGCTCATCAGCGTGTCTTTAGAATGTTGGATCTTCATATTTTGAGTCCAGATGTGTAGTCCGGATTTCCTACCCACGACGACTCTACCCACACCTACTCACATGAGATCGCAGCCACACGTGGGGAACATTTCATGTTCTTACATGTTATTATGCATGGGGAGATGTTCCCAATGCATGGAGGTAGTGATTTGTGGGTAGGTGTAGGTAGAGTTCTTGTGGGTAGGACATCTGGAGTCCCAGATGTGAAAACATGAGGATAAGATTAGAAAAAGAGCAATGGCTATGGATGGGTGCTTCATATGCAGTGGGGCGTCGAGGTAATGATGGATCTTTCATGTTATGAGTCCAAAGGTGAGATGATGGGGGGAAGGAAGCATCCCATAGTGGGAACACTTTCAGATTCTAAGGCCTTCAAATATGAAGAACCGTAGTTGGTCATGAAAGGCTGTACCATTGTAGGATCCTGGCAAAGGAAATAGTTAGAACTTAGAAGAAATATACACACAATGGGAGCACTTTTAGATTCTAAGGCCCTCAAATATGAAGCAACATAGTTTGGTTGGTCAAGGTTGTAGGATCCTAGGAAAAAGAAATAGTTATGAGAAGTCATGTGCAAGTTTGAACATTTTTAAAACACCAAGTTGTTCTTCAGTCATTTTATAAGACCATTGTGCGGAAAATTGACAAAATACAACAAAAAATGGAAGTTTCAGGCGGTGATGATCCACTGGAGGACAGGCTGAAAGTTACATCGAGGATTGTCTGCATTATGAGGAGGTAAAGGTTGGAAGTTTGGGTTGAGGGAGCAAACTTGAAGAGGAGGAGTAGGAACAAATTAATGGAATAATCAGCAAGAGATTGTGTAATCTGAGAACTCACAATATTGTACATGTGACAAATATCTTTTCAAAGCCAAAACTCGGCTTGGTAGGGGCAGGACCTACGAAAAAATAATAAATGAGTATACAGAAGGAAAAGAGTGAGAGGCAATGGGACACCTGACACTGATCATAGGGGGGCAACGATGCAAGTTCAGTCACCGGCTCCCCTTTCATTGAAGAAACAACAGGAGAACAAGGTGAGTGGTGTCAATCCTGATTCTGGTGCAAACCAGTTGCTGCATGATAGTGATGTTATTGATGGAAACTCAGGTGGAGTGGCTATCCAGAAAATAGTTGATAGAGAGGTTACAATTGGGAAAAGTCTGGGTCTGTTTTTCTGGGATGGTGAGGAATTTGCTAGGAAGGCTTTTAAGGAATTTGAAAGAAGAAAAAAGGAAGAGAAGTTGAAGAACAAAGTTCATCTGCATGGAAGCAAGGTATGGGACGAGGATTACCCAACCCAGGAGGATATGCTCACGGTTGAAGATTGATGTGGTGCTTCAGGAAGGGATCTTGCTTTTGTTTAGTTTGACGGGTTGGTGGTCCTTGTTTTAATGTGGATTTGTATTGAGTCTGTTCTTTGACCTGTGTAGAGAAGATGGGCCGAATGGCTCATAGGCTGCTTATCCTTCTTTATTTTTTATGTTCTTTGTTGTAATGGACCTTAATTTGGGCCTTATTCTTTCTTGTGTTATGTTTCTTAATTTTCTGCCCAACTAGGGGCCTCTCTGTAAATTATTAAAGTTTAACTTAATGAAATAGAATTAGGAGTGTAAGAGAGAAGGTTATGTTCGAAAATCTCTCTCTCTGAACCCTAGTTGTTGCCACTTTCTTCTTCTTCTTCTCTCTTTTTGAAATCTGATTTCTGCTACATCATTTTGAATTTTTGCAACTTTCTAAACAATCCTTTCTTTTCAAAAGGCCGTTTTTCTTCTTGGTATTAGAGCAGGCTTGTTTTTCCATCTTTTCACCTCTTTTTTCCCATACATTGTGTGTATGGAGAACTGAATCGTATGGATAGTTAAAGAAACGTATTTCAGCCCAGTTGTTAGTGGTTTCTAGAGAGAAGGGGATTGGTTTTGTCGTTCTCTTGACAGATTGAAGTGTATTGCCCGAAACCCTAATTTTCTGGAGAAATTTGATTGCGGGCCCCACAGGGAATTTGGTGTTCTATGAAGTCTACAAGGAGCAGCTGAGTTTTCTCTGTTTCTCCCGGCTTCCGGGTGTGATGCAGGTTGCTGGTACAGCTGCATAGAGGTTGGCTGACAACATAGTTTTTGTTTTGTTTTCATTTGTTGTTATTTGAAGTTGTTAGAAGTCATTTTCGAAGTATTTAAGAAGATAAACTCTTCAGATTTTGAAAACAAGCATGTTGCTGAATCTGGACAGGTTCCGGGAGCCTTTGTAGACTCTCTATTGGATGTGACCACAGTCAAGCTGGATGGAACTAATTATCTGGCTTGGTCACAATCAGTAAAAATTTATATTTGTAGTAGAGGCAAATGGTGTTTTATGTCCGGGAGCAGAAAGGCTCCTCCGGAAGATGATTCATCATATGAAAAGTGGATGCAAGAAAATTGTACTGTTATTGGATGGCTTGTGAACTCAATGCAACCACAGATTAGTCAGCACTATTTGTGGATGAATTCAGCAAAGGAAATTTGGGATAGTGTTGCTAAAACCTATTCCCAGAAATTAAATGTGGCCAGGGTTTACAAGTTGATAAGTGATGTGAAGAATTTGAGACAGGGGGATAAACCATTAGCTGTATGCTTCTCAACACTGAAGTCTTTATGGAAAGAAATAGATTTGATAGAAGCTATAGCCTGAGACACCACTAATGATGTTGAGACCTATAGGAAACTGGTTGAGAGAAACAGGGTGTTTGAGTTCTTGACAGGGGCTGAATCCAGAGTATGACATCACAAAGCAAAATATTTTATCCAAGGATAGTGTTTCATTGTCTCAAGCCTATGCCTTGGTAAGTAGTGAAGAAAGTAGAAGACTTGTCCAGGTCCAAGGGGCTGGTCTAAATGATCACTTTGCTAATATGGGAGTGAAACCCAAGGGAGTTGCAGGGACTCCAAGTAGCTCAGGGAAGAAAGAGATTATCTATGAGTACTATAAAAAGCCAAAACATACTAAAGACAAGTGTTGGAAATTGCATCCTGAGCTTCTTCCTCTTCGGTTTCAAAAGAAGTCTGATAATATGAAGGCAAGGAGTGCCAATGTTGCTGCTGGTCCAGATAGTGACAGATACCAAACTGAAGAGATGACGGCTAGTGAGCAGTTAGCTTCTATGAAGGCAGAATATGAGAAGTTTGGGAGGATGATCAATCACCTAGAGGGTGTGGCCTCTTCTTCCAACCCTCTAGGAAATTCAGCCTCTTCTGCATTTGCTCATTCAGGTATACGGGCTTCTACCAATCATGCAACCATTTTAGGTAATTGTAGGATCCCTTTGATTATTTATTCTGGTGCTTCTGATCATACGACCAGCCTTTCCACTTTATTTGTTTCATATGATTTACTTCCTGGACGTGAGAAAATCACCCTAGCCGATGGTTCTCTTGCCCCTATCTCCGGCAAGGGAACCATTAAGGCTACAGATTCCTTGGTCCTTCCTCCTGCTCTTCATGTACCCAAGCTAAATACAAATGTATTATCTATAAGTAGCCTAACTAAGTCATTTAACTGTTGTGTAACATTCTTTCCTTCCTACTGTGTTTTTCAGGATCTGGAGTCTCAGAAGGTGATTGGGAGTGGCCATGAGGCGAATGGAATATATCTGCTAGATACTCCTGGACAGTGCCATGAACAACCTGGAAAAACTGCTTTTGGGTCTACATCTACAGAGTCCATCAGTCGAGTCATGTTATGTCATTTTTGTTTCGGTCATCTTTCTTTTTCTACATTAAGTCATTTATTCCCAAAACTGTTTAAGGGAATTAGTTTGTCCAGTCTTCATTGCGAGTCGTGTGAACTGTCAAAACATTGTAGAAACAATTATCCTCTGAGTAATAAAAGATCTTCTCCTTTTCGTTTTGTGCACTTTGATGTGTGGGGGCCTTACCACTTACCTTCTTTTATGGGTGGCTACAAATATTTTTTCTTGTTCATTGATGACTTTTCTCAGTTCACTTGGGTATTTTTGATGAAGTCCCGTGATGAAGTTCCCAGACTTGTGAAGCAATTCCATGAATTTGTCCTAACCCAGTTTGATACCATAATTAAAATTTTCATATCCAACGATGCAAAAGAATATTTTGAGAAAAAACTGACCTGCTATCTCATTGATTTGGGGGTTATTCACCAAAGCTCCTATATTAGGACCCCAGAACAGAATGGAGTTGCTGAAAGAAAAAATAGGCATATTGTTGAAGTTGCAAGAAATATTCTATTTGCCTCACATGTCCCTACAAAACTTTGGGGTGATGCTGTTCTCACTACTACCTATCTTATCAACCGTATGCCATCTAGGGTTTTGGGGTTTAAGTCTCCCTTCAGTCTTCTTCGTCCGAACAATGATCTTTTTCCTATTCCTCTTCATGTCTTTGGCTGCACTTGTTATGTACATATCCCAAGTGTCTGGAGACATAACTTTGAACCAAAAGCCCATAAGTGTTTCTTCCTTGGTTATTCTCCCACACAGAAGGGTTGTTGTTGTTTTGATCCGAAGACTGGCATTCGGTATGTTTCAATGGACGTCACCTTTGATGAGCTTTCTTCCTTTTATGGTTCTTCTCCATAGAGACATTGTCCAAAGGGGGAGAATTTGTCATAGTTGTTTGCTCTTCCTCTTCTTGTCCCAGTTGAGTCTTTTGCTGAGACTCTTCCTCCTTCAAATGAGTCAAGGGAGGATCAATCATTTCACTCTCATTCCAGTGTTCCTATCCCTCCTCCTTTACCTCCTCGCCCTCTTTTTAATCCCAGGTTGTACCAACGACAGAGAACCAGAAATGAGCAGATTGCTTCCCCTACAACACATGAGCCTTATGCACTTCCAGTTATAGAAGAGACAACAAGTATTGTTACAGCCCCTTTGGAGCCATCCTTCCAAG